CACACAATGTGACTGAATTCTGGCTCAGCACTTCCGTCTGAAAGTGATGAGCAGACTTTCCGGTTACTCGTCGCTTGTCGCTGTGCCATAACCGCCGCCGCCTGCGAAAGCTCTTGACTGGAGCATCAAGGCGAGACGGCATCGTCCGTACGCTGCCTTGAGGACATGATAGATTGCTGGGCGACACTCCCACGTAACATAGTGTATCCTCTATCCCAGCCGATGGGGCTTGGGTGTGTGGCGCTTAACCCGAACGCTCAATTAAGAACTGACCTAGACTCCTATTCCAAGTCGTACCTGCGCGCGGCTACGGCGTTTCTGGTTGACGACGACGAATAGCAAACATTTCGGTCTCTTCCGTCCTGTTCGTTGTTTAACCCCAATGCGGGACTCTGCTGTATCATAGGGAAGTCACGAAAGGGTGCTTCTTCCCATATGCGGAGCATAAGCTCAGACATGTGGTACTAGCAGACTCCTCCAGCCAATAAAAACCTGGTTGCGAATATCTGAAAATGCGGTTGGGCGACTTATTGCATCCTTACTTGTCTCTGCTTAAACGAACGAATTCTTTCTTCTTAGTCACTTCCGTGAAACTCTGTTGTTTAGTTTTCCACATATACGTCAGGCAGACTACTGTGAATCCAGTCAGCATCGATGAAACCTGAGATCATTAAATTACCCGTACCTATCATACAATGCAGTGCGGGCTTGAATTTTTCAAATCAGTATTGGTTACCTCAGTTGTAAGATACGCCCACTTAAAATGACTTCTTTAAAACTGATAGAACTCTACGAAAGTGTCTTTTCCGAAACCCTTATTATGGATTCAGTCCTGCGATCAGGATAGAGAGCTCCAAGTCGGTGTATGGGCCTGCTCATCTAGTTAGTTATTAATTGATAGAGTACTGGCCTATTTGAAAGTGTGCGTCTTTAAAGTCAATATTTGCGGTGCATGGTATATATATACATGTGTGTATAAATGTGTTATGTGGGGTAGATGGGCGCCCGCCGATCAAGTTACGGAACGCGCTCGTCATATTGTATCATGGCTGGTAGACCATGGCCAGTAAGGCGGAAGTGGCCATCTCAATCTCCCTTGTCTTTCTAGGTACTTTCTTCTCTATATTTAATACTGATTGCTTTACAACCTGCGAGGACTCGAAATTGGACCCCAAGGCAAAGCGGGAAGAGCACGTCCCATAACCTGATCCGTAAACGCTCTTCCTCCACAGCTGGTTTCTTCACTTGCATTCTACAGAGCAATGGGCACGTGCCTCAATGATAGAACGCTTAACTGTTTAACGCCATCGACCAAAGAATTCAGGTTTTAGTCCCTGGTTACTCAGACCTTGAGTTAGGTATGACTGGCTGATGCCGGCTAAGAAGCCAAAAATGTCCATCCCCGGTCTACCCTACCTTTGTCGGTACTTTCTCATCTAGATCGATGAACGACACCGATGAGCCATCGTCGTCATACAGCGGCAAAAAGTCGATGGAACAGGCGTATGGACTTCTAGAGAATACCTGCGCGTTGTCATTATGGGGATTCATGCAGCAGTTGTATGCTAATGACGGCCTGCTGTCAGCCTGTGAGTGCTGGACTTCTAACTACATGGGCATGGGATCAGGCCTCAGGTGATTGAGGCGTGGAGCCGGGTATGGCTGGCTGATGAGGGCCGATAGGCTAAAATGACGACCCAGTCCTCCTTGATCTCGTCGGCAATATCCTGTACATATTACTAGTCACTGTGTGACTCCCTGTAGGTCTCTATACTGAGCCTTTATAACGAGTAAATCCCTTGGCACGATCGGCGAGCGCCCCCTACCACGGTTTATATGTCCGACCGCAACCGGCAGGACAACGAGTCCGTGGCTCGACGGCTAGAACGTGGGACAATATAGCAAAAGGGCGCGGGATCGAATCCCAGGTGTAGCAAGTCCTGGGTTCGGTATGGCTGGTTGGTGATGGCCAATAAGCCAGAAATTGCCGCTCCGTTCTGTCTTGTCTTTGTCGGCAGTCCTCCTGCTTATATATGTATATCGTGCCCTCAAAAAGGACCAAGGGCTAGGTGCGCTGGACCAACACAGAGGCCATATTGGATTTTGGCAGGCGTTATCAGAATGCGCACCATAACGGATGCGGTTTCTGGTATATGAATGCCAGAGGATAATCAAGCGGATAATTTCGGAAATGTCAGTGCAGGACGTGGAATTAATTATCCGGGACATGGCTTTTGAGGGCCAGATCCGAAATTTCGATGAATATTCGTGTCGAGGACAATCAACTGCTATGGAAAAACCACGTAATGTCCACTCCACAAACAAGTGGTTGTACGAGTAGTACGAAGTGTATATGGCAAATGTCTTATACCGTACTTCACATATATGTGTATGCAGAATGGCACTGCCGAGAGAGCCAAGGGGACTGCAATGGCCATTTCTGGCTTATCAGCCTTCGTCAGCCAGCCATGCCCAACCCCGAGGTGTACAACACCTGGAGTTCGATCCCGCAACCCGTTGGTTGGAAGTTCAATGCCCTAACCAATAAACCACGGGATTGTTGCTCTGTCGGTTGCAATTGGGCTTATACAATAATAGACGTGGTTCTCACCGACCGTTTTGCGAAACTCGTAACACCATCGGAGAACGCCTCATCTACCACTGTATCTATATATCCATATACCTGTTCATAGGTGTATATAGAAGCGGGTGTGTGGGGAGGCAGAGAATGATGTAATCCAATAGATAGATGTCCGCTCATCTGTGCACGGAGGCAACAACCGCACCAATTTGGTTATGGAAACGACCAAATTTCCCAAACGTCAGTACGAATACAATTTGCTCTGTGAAATTTCCCTCTCCTCTCCGTCTGATTACGGCTTCTAGGCCGGAAATGGTCATTAGAGTCTTCCTTGTCTCTCTATTATTGTTGATATATCCGATCGCAACCGATGGTTAGGGCATTAGACTTCTGACCAACAGAACGCGATTTCCAGTCTTGGTGTTTGTAAAACACGGGGTCGGTTATGGCTGGCAGATGACGACTAATAAACCAGAAATAGTCATTCCAGTCCTCCTCGTCCATGTTATTAATGTTATTCCGCGACCCGATCGGAGGGCACTGATCTACTATAAATAATATTACCGACCACAATCGACAGGACCTTGGACCCGTGGCTGAATGGCGACTCGTCACACTTAATGACCAAAGATCGGAGGTTAGAATCTCGGGCGATCCACACCCGGGGTTGGGCACGACTGGCTGATGAGGACTGTTAAGTCGGGAACGACCATTCCGGTCCCTTTTGTCTTTGCCGGTAACACATTATTTACATATACCACTATTCGCTATGCGATTGCCGGCGAGGATTGTAGTTTGAGCCACAAGACACAACGGAACGAGCAGTTCCAGAACATGATCGGTGAGCGTTCATTCACCACAGTATGTACGTATATATAAAAAACAGTAGAGCATAAAGACAGGCAGGGAAGACCTTCTGTATGCAATCATAATAATGATAAGTGTGTACAACTTACCAGTGTCTCGCACCATTCAGCAATGGCGTGGATGCGTCACCGATTTGTTGCAGACTCGCCTCCAAATAACAAGTTAACTCGTAGACTATTCACACTCGCATTAACAGGGCAAGTCTCGCCTACCTAACCCAGAATAGCTGATTTCCCGTCAGCTAATAAAATCCGCCGCATGCTCACCATGTCTCCGACACAGGAAGCCTCAGGACTGACAATCAGCCCCTCCAAGAGAGGCGACATTTTTGTCCTCATCACATGATCCGGTTGGTCTTTGATGAACGACAGGTTCAACCAAGAAGCTCGGTAACCTTGACCCCCACTGTCTTTGGTCGCATTCATATTTTGACTCTAAATCTGAGCGTTTCCAACACGACTGTCTTCGTAAACAGGCTGAATTAACCGCATAAAATTGCTAGGCATGACTGTCCTTCATTATCATAACCCCCGCTTACCATACGTGCCTTAACTGTGTGTCCTTCTCAGTCTGTATCATATCAGTCAGCCGATGGCTGTCGGCAGAATGTGTGCGCTCGTTATTTTGCGGATGAGAGATCTGACAGTTCGACCATCTTCTCCGACGAGGTCAACCGTGTGCTCTACGAGAGCAGGGACGGTGACCTGTGCGTGATTTATTTTACGGTGATAGCAGACTTTCGAAGCATCTACCTCACTCTCACTTCCCCCCTCCACCTGAGCCTGGTGTCACGACCAAGTTAAGAAGACCGGAGGTGGGGGTGAGCGCAGGTAGCTAGCGCGGCTGGATTCGCCCCTAGGCGTGGCAACACGCCCAGCTAGGATTCCACAGCGAGAAAGTGCCACAGTCACCACATTAAGAAACAGCCATTACAGCCTGACTCTCAGTTCACCAGTCGGCCACTCCACACAAGCGCTCACTGGACCGACTGTGAGGTCTTAGTTCCATTGTTCCAACCTCCCAAACCATGTCACTTAGCGCCCCATGATATATAGTTCGACTCGATAGTTCAACCGTCGATTTCGACGATATCCACCGTGTGCCCCACAGCAGCAGCGGTGGGAGCACGGACGGTGACTTGCGCAGGAGTTTATAGTGCCAGTAGGCTTGCGCTGCATCTACCTACACTCTCTCCTCCTCCCGGATGAGCCCGGTGTCAAGACAGAGTCAAGAAGACTGGAGACGGTGGAGGCAGCAGGTGGATGGCTCGGACGGATCCTCATCTTGGCGCTCCACTCCGCACCCCCTGTTCCACACAACAAATGACCAGGATTTTTACCGCCAAATCAATAGGTTGATGGCAGGGGTCCAGTTGTGCGACGACTGCCGACAACAGGGACTGCCAGCGCACCCCGCAAATGTTGACATTTGTTATTGCGAACAGATAACGCCTGCCAGAATCCGATGTGGCCCCCGTGCTGGTCCAGCGCATCTAACACGTGGTCCGTTTGGGGGGCCAACCATGATATATACAACAGTCATTATGACACCAATGTACCCTGTGAGTACCACATGAGTTAATTATCTGTTTTGTTTTGCCAGATAAATGGACGGAACGTGGGACCTAGTGAGGCCATGGAGGCCCTCCGCCGGACAGAGGATCCTGTCGCAGTTGAGATCGTCCGACGATGCGGCCGCAATACCGACGAACCATCTGCTGCGGCCGCTGCCGCGCTGTACCTCCCCGGCGACTGCAGCATACTGATCGGTGGCAGCGGTGGCCTCTGCACCACCTCGGGCAGTGAACTCAGCTGTTGCTGCACCTGTCCGCCCGCTCGACATTCCTCCAGATCTGTTGGCGTACAGACCGCACTCAGCGCCACGGAAATGATAGCGTCGGCGGCCATACTTGCAGCATCGAGGGCGGCTGAGGAGGCTCGCATTGCTCTCGGTATCCCAGTAATTGGTGGATACCATCACAGTCCCTTGTCGTTCCGGTGCGTGCCTATTGAGTTTCTAAGTTGTACAGTGCGTGACCGATCTCACGAGATGCTGGCCGAAATTCTGAAATGTTCCTTCCATTAGGAAGGATTACTTAGGTGGATATGTAATACTGACAGTCTTGCGGCATAATCCTATAACATTTCAGACTCAGCAGGATGTCGACTTTTGAATGCACTTATTTTCGACCTCCTGTAGAAGCCGTACTCGGTAAAGAGCGACTGCTTAATTCGCATGTATTTTTCGCATTGATTTTCGCTAGTTTTATAAATTCAAATACAATTCACGCAAAACGTAGACAGGAAATTCTTTCTTTTACTCATTTTATTGAGAACCATGTCATCTTTTTATCGTATACCCGAAGAAGGAATGTAATTAGATTTTTAAAAAGTTTCTAATCATGAGATTATTTAAGACCGTGCAGTGTTCATGCACACAACATCGTACCTATCCGGTTGCCACTGCTCCGCGTGAAATGCACAACACAGTCGGCATCCATTGCAAAATTTTGAGGATTCTATCTGGCCTAATTATACTACTTATTCAATTATATGATATAAACATGACGTAATTTTCAACGAAATGAGTAAAAGGAAGCATTTCCTGTCTATGTTTTGTATGAATTATATTTGAATTTTTAAAACCATCGAAAATCAATGCGAAAAATACATGCTATTTAAGTAATCGCTCTTTAGCGAGTACGGCTTCTACAGGAGGTCGACAATAAGTGCATTCAAAAGTCGACATATTTTGACTCTAAATCTGAACGCAAGACTGTCAGTATTACAAATCCACCTATGTAATCCTTCCTAATCGAAAACGCATTTCAGGATTTCGGCCAGCATCTCATGAGATCGGTCACGCAGTGTATGTTCCTGCCCACATTGTCGCTTACAGACGGATAAAGTATTGGCGAAATGAACATGTCAAGAATGATTTGAGGCCAGATTACATGCCTCCAAGCTAAAAAATACACACGCATGCGATAGACTAACGCCCGCAGATCCAATTAGGGGACACACTCCTCTAACTGTGCCTTGGGTCTCAATCTAAAACCCTTTCAGGCATTTTTGTAGCGACCTGTGGTGCATGCAAATACTCAAATCACGAACCAATGATAGGTCGTTGGACTTCCTAGAGATCTGCAATTTGAGCCACAGATGTCCCGAACCTAGGGGGGCAAGGCAGGCTAATGACGGTCAATAAGTCACAAATGGCCATCCCGTTCTCCCTCTGCGTACGTTATTAATCGCAGTGTGACCGCTTACGCGACTCTAGATCAACGGCCAAAGCAAAACCAGCAACCTGATGGATGAATGCCCCTACCGTGGTTCCTATGCTCGGTCGCAGCCAACAGGACAAGGAACCCTCTGACTCAATAGTTAGACATTCAAATTCACGGAGTCACAGCCTCAGGGGTTGGAAAGTCTAGAGATGAGTCAGGCTGACTATCGATGGCTGATAAACCAAAAATGGCCGTCTTAGTCTTCCTTGTTTTTGCCCGCATGATCCTGCACGTACTACTAGTCGCTATTAGTAGTTGCCCTGTATATATATAAGGCCTGTGACGCACTAGTGAACGGTAAAGACCGTGAAACAACTACCTGCCTCTGTCCTGTTGCAGTCTAGGAGAGCTGATTACGTCGAGCCCGTGGCTGAGTGGTTAGAGGCGTTGGACTTCTAACTAACAGGTCGCCGGATCGAACCCCAGGTGTTCCACACTTCGGAGTTGAGTATGACTGGTTGACGACGACTGATAAGCCAGAAATAGCCATTCCAGCCTCCCTTAACTCTGTGACTGTAAATCGACTATTTATTTAATCAAAACTTTGGTCGACTTCGGCCTGGTGCTCGGTTGCCTGTTCGTGACCTCTACCACCCATAGGAAGCATGTTTGCTTCGTGAAGCCAATAGATCGGTGTGCGTCCATTCCCGATTGAATATAGATATATATATATATATATGTTAATGCAAATTTTCTACTTCCTCCTTTTTCCTACAGTCGTGATTACGGCGTATTTGGACCTGTTTTTCACTGCCACGTTTTGTGGCCAACGGAAGGATCTTCATTGAAATGGAAAATACACCTAGTTGATCGCTCTGCGGTAAATGGAGAGACAGACCGGTCGACAAGTTATCCGCTCTATTGCGCGGTACGGGGCCGAGATTAACTCGAGTCCGCTGGCATAGAAAGCGAATCCAACCGGCGGCCTGCCAGCCGCACGAAGCACCCACCCACTGATGCGCCCAGGAAGTTGGACTCTATTCAAATCTGTAGAGGTGATTAATCAGTTCGCCTGATGACAGGGGGGGCGACGGACGCGCTGATTCTGGTGCAGCTACAAGGACCGGGCTGCAGGCAAAGATTACGTGAGCACATAGAAAGAAAGAAGCAGACAATCAGCAGCAGACAGACACCCGAAAGTTCGTGCGTCGGGCGAGGGGGGCCAGTAGAAACAACCAAATCATGTAATTATTTACCATACTGACAACACAGGCACGCGTGTTTCGCCGATCATTTGCAGCCACCTGACGCATCTGTGAGGGGTTCGGCCCATCAGTGTGTCCCCAGCCTGCCAGACTGAGTGCAATTCCTGAAAAATCACTTATGTTGGCGAAACTCACAAACAAACCCAGGCGAAAGTACACTGGACCCAACGGGACTAGTGAGTTCCTTAACACGGTCAGTGAGAGTCTCTCTACCATTGCATACTTCCCAGCGCAACCGACAGGACAAAGAGCCCGCAGCTCATTGGATAGAGGCGTTGGGCTCCTAACCAACAGGTAACGGGATTGGGCCCTAGGTGTTCCACACCTCGGGGTTGGGTGTGACTGGCTGGCGACGCTAATAAGCCAGAAATGGCGATTCCAGTCTCCCTTGTCTTTGTCGGTAATATCCTTCTGCCAATATATATATATATATATGTCAGCGGCTAATTTCCGGGGAAATGAGAAAGCAACAATTTCTAGACTGGAGTATCTACCAGGAAGCCCACGGGTATGCTGGGGGACCTATTGATGAGTCGAACCCCTCTTTGCTGCAAAATATGTGCAAAAAACGTGTCTGAGCCTTTAGCTAGTACCTGTGCTGTTAGCATGGTATCCTGCAACCCAATGTGTGCAAATTTTATACAGCCTGAGATTAACATCCCGCCTCTCAACTGATATTGGCTTTGCAAAGGGTAAGTTGGAAGTAGACCTACCAATTTCTTCACAAGCGCCACAACCATGTGCTTATTAATTAGATCTATCGAACCCTGACGGTCGTCAGTCATCAGATGTGGACTATCACAACCCCGCCTCCTGCCTGTCAGATAAGTCCTGCGGTGTTAGCAACACGACTCTGCAGGTACACCATCGGTCTTGTCTACATGGGCGATGCTGTTCCCACACCTACAGTGTTATCGGTACCATCCCATTCACGTTCGTCACCCCCATGAGAGGGACGGATGGGGGCTTCCGCTGTCTACTTTGGTGAAGCTCGGCGGTGGGGTCTGGTGGGGTTGTAGGACGTGGGTGGCCGAAAGGTGTTTTTTTGCCCGGCATTATTCCCACCTCCCATTTAGGCCTTCGGCATCCCTCACGTTGCGCAAAGATTTTGCCCGCACATGAGTTATGCGTCGTCAGTGACAAAAAGGGACCCGGCCCTGTCAAAGCGTCCCACAGGCAGAATTGGGTAGACCGTATTTTTGCGGCTGAAACTTAGCCAAGGTCATTGTCTACGCCTATTTTCGACTAATTACCGGGGGTGTGAAATTTTCTGTTCCAGACATGGCCCCTCCGACAATGAAAGTCTCCCTTGTTCTGAAACGACTACTCCCACGGTGGTCCCTTTCCATTTCTGCACTGAAAAGTTCATTTTCACTCCAGTCAACATAGTGCGCCTTAAAAATGTTTAACACCCTGTCATCTGACTGCGACCCATGCGTTTTGCCCCAATTGTGCTCGAACGTTTGCCACCGATGATGCTCGCTGAAAGCTCTCTCCTTGGTTTATAGTCCCTAATCTGCGCCGCTCTCTAACAAGGTCAAAGAAGTCACCTGGTGAAAAAGGGTGTCGAATATACAGTAGGTTGGCTAACTCATGAAATGTCAACCGAAATTCTGAATTGTGTCTTCGTTTAGGAAGCATTATTTAAGTAGGGTTTTAAAATTAATCATCATGCAGCATAATTCTGTAATACATCAGTTACCTTAGGATGTCGGCTTTCGAATGAGCTTATTTCTGGCTGCAGGCAAAGACTACACTCTGCAAAAATGACTGCTTAAGTTGCGTGTAATTTTCTCATTGATTTTCAACGCCGATGAAAATTCGGTTATTCTTCATGGAAAACATGCATGAAAATATTCATTCTTTCATTGTCTCGGTACTAAATTGCGTCTTCATCCGATTTTGTTCTCAAAAGAAGAGTTTAATTCGGTCTTAAAAGACTTTCGTAATTTCCGAATAATTTTGAACCCGACCTGCTGTTACACTTGCATTCAGGGTTTAAAAACTGCAAGCCGTGTATTTTCTGTGTACGAAAAATCATGCATTTCTCTACGGTATTAAGAGGAGACCATATGGAGTTCATAAAATTAAGCAGTGGATTTGAGCAATATTGTTGCCTTTACAAGCCACATTCGTAAATACAGATACATGAGATTTTACGAACGGCCATTTCATGATATTAAAAAATCTCACAATTAGAAACTTTTTAAAACTGAATTATACCCTTCCTTCGAGTATAAAATTGGAGGAAGACATGATTTTCTACCGAATAAGTAAAAGAATGAATTTTGTTATGCATTGTTTATGAAATATAATTGAATTTTCAAGGCCGGCGAGAATCAATGAGATAATTGCATGCTACTTAAGTAGTCAATTTTGCAATGTATAGTTCTTGCATGCAGTCGGAAATAAGTTCATTCGAAAGCCGACACCCTGAGGTCACTGTATCATTATAGAATTATGTTGCATGATGATGAATTTTAGGACCATAATTAATTAATCTGTTCGAAACGAGAACGCATTTAGAAATTTCGGCTGACATTTCATGAGTTAACCGACCTACTGTATGTAGGTGCAGCCCCTTTAACCCTATTTTTCCCCGAGTCTTTCCCTCTTCTAACGGAGGAGTCCCGCACAGCCAGTGATGGATGCTGCGGAATTCACTGCCCTCCTGTACCTCCTAGTCGTAAGCATGCTTTCTGCTAAGCCGGTAAGCAGGTGTCCGTCAGGATAAAATTTGGCGGTGTAATGTCCTTCTGTCGCATTTAACCGGTTCCTTCTTCGTTTGCCTTTCTCTCAGAATAGAGTTCGTGGCCATGAGCTCCGACTCACGTCCAGACAGGTGCCAGTGCTTGGCGCACATTCCTGCAGGTTTTTCTGTACATTTGGGGTCTTTATTTCGCAACAATTAATGCGCTCCAAAATATAGCAAAAATGTAGGAAAGTGGGTGCAAGCTTGCAAGACGGAAAGAAATCTACATTAGGCGTTAAAATTTATGAATTACTGACCAACACTTCCGAAAAAGCCTTCAAATTGAAGATTTAGTATGAGCGAGGTTTCAGCACTACATAGCCTCGAATGGTTCTCACATTACTGCAGGTGTGCTAACTCATGAAATGTTAACCGAAATTCTGAATTGTGTCTTCGTTTCGGAAGCATTATTTAAGTAGGGTTTTAAAATTAATCATCATGCAGCATGATTCTATAATACATCAGTTACCTCAGGATGCCGACTTTTGAACGAAAAAATGACTACTTTAGCAGCATGAATTTTTATCATTGATTTGATGCCCTTTTACATTCAAATATATTTCGTGGGAAACACGCATAAAATATTCATTCTTTCACTCGTTCGGTAGAAATCTACGTCTCCTTCAAATTGTATACTCGAAGGAAGGGGGCAATTCGGTTTTCAAAAACTCCTCCAATTCTCAAATAATTTTGAACCCAACCTTCCGTTCCACTTGCATTCAGGGTTTATAAACTACAATCCATATATTTTCTGCGTTTGGAAAACCATACATTTCTGGACGGTGTTACGAGGAGACCATATGGGGTTCATGAAATTTCTCAGTCAATTTGAGCCATATTGTAAGCTTTGTAAGTAACATTAGTGAGTGCGGATGCCCGATGTTTTGTGAAGGGGCATCTCACGGTATAAAAAGCCTGGCTAGATCGCAGATGGTAACCCGGACCCGCATTACAGGTGTCTGGGGGGGTTGTTTACTGGGGTTATTTTGTGAACCTCCATAGTCAGATCGGACACATTTGGCTTCCGTTTTACGTTTGAGGTTAGGATTAGGGTACCGGTTAATGATTTCCGATTTTCCCGTTACGGTTATGCCTTTAGGCTTCGGTTTTCGGGTTATGCTTAGGGTTTGAGCGTACGAATAGGTTTCAGTATTACGGTTAGGCTTCTCAGTTACGGTTATGTCTAAGGGCTACGGTTATGTTAACGATTTCGGCTAGGGTTAGGGTTGAAGTTAGGGTTAACGGTTGACGGTAACGATTGAGTTTAGGGTTAGGGTTAAGGTTGGGATTAGGGTTAAGGTCGCCGTCCGCTTCCCATTCCGGGCTACCAACTGCGATCTAGCCAAAAATCTTATAATCAAAAAGTTTTACAAACCGATTTATACACTCCCTTCGAGAATGCAATTGGAAGAGAGCGTAATTTTCTAACGAATGGGCAAGAGAATTAATATTTTTATGCCTGCCTTCCATGAGATATAATTGAATTTTTAGGGGCATCGAAAATCAATGAGAAACAGTCATGCTGCATAAGCAATCATTTTTTACAGATTGTGGTTTTTGCATGCGGCCGGAAAGATGTTCATTCGAAAGTCAGCATCCCTGGGTAACTGAAGTAGCATGCAATTATGCAGTATGATAGTTTTAAAACCCTATTTGAATAATCTTTTCGAGTTAGAGACGCAGTTCGGAACTTCGGTTAACATTTCATGAGTTAGCGCACCTACTGTACACTGTATACGAGCTTTCGCCGATCAATTTTCTACCCAACTTCCTTAATTACGTTCACAAAGAAAAAAATAATTACCTAAGCAATTAATAGTTCACCGAAGGTATACTGAGGGTCAACACTAACTTTCGGTCGCAGGAAAAGTTAGGGCATCGACGTGGTATTTCGTACTACTCAATATCTGCAGTTTACACTACTACTATTACTGCTTCGTACACCACTATCAGCTCGAAAAACGCCTTCAGTGCCAACCCCCTTAGACAGACTAGGGCTGGAGACGCTAGCGTCTAGGGGAAAACAAAAGGCCCTCTTCTGACAAAAATATCGGCCGAATTCCGTTCATGTTCCTATACGAAGTAGAACTTGCTCACTTTCGAACGTTCATCGTGCTTGGGTCGTCTGCTATCATGACGTTTTCTTCAATAATGAATATTTCACTAGGGAAATTCTACTCTTTTTGTGAACGTCACTGCCTGGTGATGACTTGAGCTGTTGGCCGGGGTCAGCTGCGCTTTAGTGTCGTTGCTTTGTTTGATGGCTCTCCAAAGAGAGACTTGTTGTGCCTGATCGAGGAACTTCAAACACCTGTGTTCTAAACATGTAGGTTTTGCCAGCCCGATTTGTTGAAAGATGCAGACCGGGTTCAGTCGGGGTTATCTTGTTTATCTTTTATTTACGAGGTACTGACGCACTCGGAGGGCATTTTAATCTCTTCAGACAGAGCCTGATGAATGTGGTTGAGCACGATGCCCACTCATGACAAAGCGCTTATTCCTCGAGAATAACTGTCAGTCATGGAGGTTCAGTCTGCATCATATCCTCTCTTCATCTTCCCTCTATTCCGCCCCTAGGGGTCCAGTAATTGATGGTCAGTTGGCCAAAGAGGTTGGGGAGATTGATGAAGGAGACGGTGAGGATGATGATGGTGACGAGGAAGTGGAAGAGGAGGGAGCTGGAGATGAAGATGACGAAGAGGAAGTTCTGTTTGGAGATCCGACTTTCCTCAATCGCTGCCGCCCTCCGGTGGACCCCTTGTCAGAAGATGTCAACCCAATCGAGTCCACCTACGCCAACTTTCCCGACTTTCCAGAACGTACCACCGGTTTGGGCAACTCCTGTGACACTCAGGACAGCCAGCCGCCCGAACTCTCCGAGATCCTAGGGGGCGCACCTCTGGAGTGGACCTATTTTGTAAGTGTCGCTAATGCTACTCATCTGTCTGTAAACCGTATTGTCAATCAAATCTCCTGCATGCTTGCTACGACTTATTTGGCAAAAACATCCTTCCCACCGCTGCCGATATAAGCGAAGATGCGAATTCCAGAATGCGAATTCTCGCCAGAACCCATCATCAGAGACAGTGACAGATTCGGGTGATTCGGGCGCAGGAAGTTGCAGTATTTATAGAATGCAGGCCTGTTAGCCAGATGGCCGAGCCCATCATCACGCCAGCATTCAACAGGGATAATGAGATTTCAACAGTCAACAACTTGCCTGCTGATCGCCAAGTAAGTTGCGCACCAGTGGGCAATAATCCTCGATGAAGGGGAGAGCGGTTAATTATCATAGGTAGGCAGTAGCCTAGCGACTGCATCCTATAAATACTGCAACTTCCTGTTCAAATCACCCGTATCTGTCTCTGATGATGGGTTCGAGCGAGAATTCGAAACGTTAGGCGAATAAAGCTCTCAGTTCAGCGATCACTTCTACCTCTTATATTCCCACCGTTTTAGCCTAGTGTCTGTAACATTTTACTCTAGTCGAAGGGTCCTTGGATATTTTACGTTTCGCTCTGATGTGGAATACAGGTAAGACTGTATGCGACTTCCTGCCCCGGAAGAGGTGGGTGTTTTTCGTGTTTAACATGGAAGCTAACAAGTACAAGACAAAACATGTGTAGCAAGAGTAGTTTTTCATGTCCCCGATGCGAGCAGACAGCCCAGCAATGTGTTTCAAGATAAATGCCGCGTCGTCCAAATAAATATATCTGGGAACAGGTGATTTCATTGTCATACTGTCTACAGGCCAGTTTTTGAGAAAACACCTTCTGGGGTTTTTTTAAGAATAACTTAGACAGCTGACCTTTTCGTGTGCCTCGTGGAAGCACGCTAATCACCAGAGCAGAGAAGACAAGCTACCACAAAACGTGTATTGCCATGTAGAAACGTTGTCCCATAAACGACAACTCGGCCTGCGACAACAAAATTTAAAAAAACATTGCAGGATGATTGTTGGAATCGACGCCTTTATTTTTGCCAAACTTCTTCTATGCAGCATTTCTGAACGGCCACTGAATCAAGTCCGGATCGTATCCGGTTTTTGGCTCCCAGAGCAAATATTCCCTTATATTTGGTTACCCGGCTTCTGCATGTCTTATCCTGTGCACGACTCGTGCAACCTGTTTCGATGTAATCCCGCGGCTGGATAGTCATTATGCTGTTTTCTTTTCCATTTATGAAGCATGGCCATCACACCCATCGTTCATATTGGAGACGGTCCTCCGGCCATAATTTTTGACCGGATTTATGGATTTAAGTATCACGGGAAAGTGAACTAGTTCAAAAACTGCACGAAGCCCATTAGCAATAGTCTGATCACTTCATGGATAAAGTCACAGGCGCATCGGCTAGCCTGAACTCCACCAAGTGATAACTTTGTCAGTACACGCTCCCGGATGTCTCACAGCATCCGTTTCATCATTCTTATTTTAAAAACTGATTGGTTTCTTAAGCTTGCTGAAAGATGCCTTCAAATATTCAAATATTCAGAAGACGATAAAATCGATGTATGTTAGTTTTTAAAATAGAGGCCAGGCAAGAGCCAACTAACTTTTATCGACTTTTTCACTCTTTGTACCCCGTCCCATGTAACTGTGCTGACCTGACGAGAAGTTATCGAAAGCAACTCTCGCTCGCCACTTTGTCTTCTGAATATAGCTACGGGGATTTCCATAGTCAACCATATTCAAATATACCTAAGTTCAGACGTTCCAGTAAACAATTCTTGGTGTCTGCAGAAACACAGGCAGGTAGAAGACTGTCGCGCAACAGTGTTTTGTACCAAATAAAGACAGAGGAAACTAATTCGTGTGAATATTTGCTTGTACCAGCTTTAAAAGCTCCAACGGCAGTTCGCAGTCGTCCACGCAAAGGAGACAACCTGGTTCTTCCCTCTATTTGTCAGGCTATCAGAATAGTAAGAACTTTGAGGATTTCCAGACATGTATCCACATTTCAAAAGAGAATGTCTTACAGTTCGAAAGTTTTTAAGGTCCATGTTTCTTTGAAATATTTTAGGACGTGATTTTTCCTGCTCACGTATGCGTTTCAGAATGCCTCGACTTAGGATATCAGGAGTCTCGTTCATTGTTGTTTAGATCAAAGTTAAGCAGGGACTATGTGGGGCTTTTGTTTTTCGGCAGTAGCACTTTATCCGCTGCCAACTAGTTTTTGTGAAGCTCCTCCTGCATCCTT